AACGGCTTACTCCCAAGACCCAAGACCACAACCTGGCTTTCTGCTCGCATCATCATTGCATATAAACGCCCAGATCTGGAAGGATTTCCAGCACAACTGGCATTACTGAAGCCATTATTGCATGCCCCAATAACAATACTGACATGGATAGCTCGTATCTGATATTGTTCAGACCAAGAATGGTTTGCACCTGCCATGATGCTCTCTCCCTCTCTCTCTCTCACTCTCTCCTCTGGTCCCTTCCCTTATCCGCCCCTGCCAAGCCCTCTCGGCGTTAGTTGATTGGACGGCCCTCTTGGCCCAGCATACCAACATTGCACTTGTTCTATTGTCCTTCGGCAACGGGGCACTGCTGTGTCCCATTTGGATTTGCGACTACACTGATGAAGTCCGCAGTCTGATAGACGGGACGTTGATCTGGTTTGGGTGGGGGGTGAGCAACAGGGCCAACTTGCCACACTTACCAGTGTTTTGTTGGAACGAGCAATACCAATGAGACGGGTTATATGGGCATGGCTTCAGGCTATAGCAAGTATTGCTATGATTGGTAACTTGCATCGTTATTATCTTATGAATCAATAAGGTAAGCACTCTTCTTCCCGCTGATCTTCGCACCAATATGCCCCGGAAATGCTGCCCAGATGGGCCAAGACGGGACCTATGCCCGTAGGGTGCTTGTGTTTGTTGTCGATGCCTTGGCACCGAGTCTCTGCACACGGCAGCCAATGCTCACAACTCACAGGTCAGGTCGTATTCGGCAAGCAGCTCTGTCAACAAAAAGTGCTTTTCTTTTGTGCTTTTATGCACAGCCAGGTGCATAGAGTTTAGCGCTCTCTGGCGTCACTCTCTCGCCGTCAATGTGGTCAGCCATGCGCCAGAACCATGACACCGAAACTTCCATGGGCCTTTGATATATCGTTTTGGTTTTTTTTTTTTTTGCTTTGTTTTTTTTTTTTTGTTTTTGGCCTCTGGCCTCACGCGCCGCACCAACCCCGACAGACCAGGTAAATCCTACGGTTGCAGTCCCTGTTCGATCCGCGAATTGGGACGGCCAAGGCTCCACGACCATTGCCAAGGACAACCGCGGCGCATCTGCAGCAGTTTCACTGGGGGTGCGCTGTCCACAGTCCAGACCGCTAAGGGGCCGCCCAAGATTTTCCAAGATTTTTCCAAGAAGATGCCAAGTACCGAATTGTCGTATAAGTGGGCTGGTAGTTGAGGCATGGTGGGGGGAGCGATAGAATCGGACGGCGCCATGTGTTTGACGAGGGCAGAGGTGATTGGGCCTCGGGTGTTACACCGCCGCCCAAAGCAGAACATATCGCAAAGTGTGCCCGCCCAGCCAGTCGGGCCTTGGTAGGGACCCCGCCGATAGGGCCAGACACACTACCTAACCCCCGAGTCCCGACGACCGGCGAAATACCTCTTGTTGCTTCTTGGCTTATGGGCTTGATGCCTAATACCGGGCGCCCTCGGAAGGAGCATTGGCGCTGCATGCCCAGCTGCAGCCGCCGAATTTTGACAAGTAGAGGCTGGCGCCCCAGATGGAGTCCCCCCCCCCCCCCAAAGAGGGAATGGGGTCGGGACCACACAGAGGGACCGACCACACAGAGGGACCACACTGACGGAACACACAGATTCGGGATCCTCTCACAGCTACGCTGGCAAGGGCCCAGGGTCGGCTGATATCTCTTTAACTTGGGAACGGGCCCCCCGTTCTCTCGACCGTGACCACTCTCTTGATGACGAATATTGACTTTATGATCTTGTTGTCTCTCGTGTGTGTGCTCATGAAGGTCACTGCGCACCCGCTGGCAGGTCCTGTTTTGAAGCCAACCTCCACTGTTCACCTCTGCCGATAGTTGAACACTATCTTGGTGAGCTGGGTTACTCTCGTGCCCTCAAGATGGCCGTCCCCCTTTTGCTTCTCATCCTCGCCGCCGCGGCGCTGTCGACGGTATATCAATATCTCAACAGGAAAAAGCTGCCACCGGGTGTGCAAGAACTGCCCGGGCCGTGGGGTGAGTTTACTGACACACCTACCGAGACGCTGGTGATGGACAAGAACTAACCACCATAACCCCAGGCATCCCCTACGTCGGCCGTGTCCACGACATCCCAGCCAAGGCCTCCTGGCTTAAGTTCTACGAATGGGCCCAGCTCCACGGCCCCATATACCAAACCACCATCTTTGGCGAGGTGCACGTCTGGATCTCGTCGGAGCAGATCGCCCACGACCTGCTCTCCAAGCGGGCTCTCATCTACTCGGACCGGCCGACCATCCCCAACCTGCCCGATAACCGCACCAGCGGCGACTACCTAGCCCTGCTCGGCCGGACAGGTACCACTTTTCTCTCCCTCTCTCTCTCTCTCTCTCTCTCTCTCTCTGTCTCTGTCTCTGTCTCTGTCTCTGTCTCTGTCTCTGTCTCTGTCTCTGTCTCTGTCTCTCTCTCCCCCCCCCGCCCCCTTCCCATTGAATCCCCAACTAACACGATCAACCCAGACACATGGAAGCGCCAACGACGCCTGTGCGGCCACCTGATGCACACCTCGGCCCTTGACCAGCTGCACGCCTACCCGGCCCTCGAGCGCGACCGGTTCCTGTACCTGATGGCGCGCTCGCCGGCGCACTACCGCGAGTGGATCGAGCAGTTCACGTCGCGCACCGTGTCGCGGCTGTCGTGGGGCACGGCGCACCCGGCGCAGGTGCTGCGGCACACGACCTTTGGGCTGCTCGAGACCATCAGCCCGTCGGGCGCGCTGCCCAACATCATTGGGTTTCTGCGGCACGTGCCCGAGTGGGCGTCGCCGTGGAAGCAGAAGGAGAGGCGGCGGCATGAGCTGGAGGATAAGGTGTTCCGGGCGAACGTCGGGTTTGTGGGGGAGATGCAGGGCCGGGAGGCGGCGCTGCCGAGTTTCATTGGGACGTTTATGTCCGAGAAGGACGAGGGGGAGGGGACCGAGGAGGCTATGCGCGTTGTTGGGCTCATGGCTATTGCGGGCGCGTTGACGATTGGGAGTCCCATCCAGAGCTACCTGCTGGCCATGTGCCACTACCCCGAGTGGCAGCGCAAGCTGCAGGACGAGATTGACAGCGTGTTGGAGGGCACGTGTCCGCAGTGGGAGGACCGCGAGAAGCTGCCGCTGCTGCGGGCTGTGGTGAAGGAGGTGATTCGGTGGAGGCCGCCGGTGCCGACTGGTACGTGTTCCCGATGGCTTTGACTTTTGAGACTTGCTGCGATTTATCGTGCTGACGCGGATAGGTATCCCGCACGCCGTTGAAAAGGACGATATCTACAATGGCTACTTCATCCCGGCTGGCGCCACGATTCATGCACTAGAATGGTAAGCCACCCGATCTCCCCGAGAGAGAGAGAGAGAGAGAGAGAGAGAGAGAGAGAGAGAGAGAGAGCGAGACATGCATATCATGTCGAGACATGCATATTATGTCGCTCACGGCCGGGCCCAGCTAACAACAGCCAATCAGGGGCATCACGCGGGACGAGGCCGTGTACCCGGACGCCGAGACGTTCAACCCGCAGCGGTGGCTGGACCCGGGCTTCCCGACGTTCCGGGCGCCGCTGACGCAGTACCCCAACCTCAACGGCTTCTCGCAGTTCGGCTTCGGGCGGCGCACCTGCCAGGGCATCCCCATCGTCGAGCAGGACCTGTTCCTGACCATGGGCGGCATGGCCTGGGCCTTTGACATCCGCAAGCAGCGCGACGCCGCCGGCAACGAGGTGCCCGTGCACTGGCTCGACTACACGCCGCTGCTCATCGCCAAGCCCGAGGAGTTTCCGTTTGATGCCGTCCCGCGGTCGGCTGCCAAGATGGAGCTGATGCGCAACATGTACGAGTCGGCCAAGGCCAAGGAGGAGGCCGAGAAGGCCGTCGCCAAGGGCTACGCGTTCCCCGACCTGGGGCTGGTCAACCAGGGCAAAGACATTGAGGACCTGGTCAACAAGGAGGGCGGCCGCGTGGCCAGTGTTGAGAGCGACCGCCATGTCCTGATTGACGTGCGCGACTCGAGCCCCGAGCCTGGGCTGTCGTCGCGCGGCGATTCGAGTTCAGAGCCTGAAGAGCCACAATCCGAAACCGAGCGTGAGGCCAAGCCTTTGCTTCACGAGGACGAGAAGAGGCATCTGCGCAAGGGCAAGAAGGAGCCAATGATAACGGGGCAAGGTGTGCCGGGGGCGTGGAAGTGGCTCTGACTTGCTTGTTCGTCCTTTTCTTTTTTTTTCTTCTTTTTTTTTTGTCGTCATAACCGAGACACCCCAGAGAAGGGAATGTAATTGGGCTGGATTTGAGGAGCTATTGTAACCTACTCTCTCATTGAGCGAGTTGGAGGAGTTATTCGCTTGGGCGGGAAATACCCGAGGCATCGGGACGGGATCCTAATGGACATTGGAATCCAAATTGAAAAATTTCATGACCTTGTCTGCTTGGCCGCCGGGCTGGATGGGGTTGAAGGTGTTTCCTTGGCGCGCGTGCTGGCTCATCAACGCGGTCCACGTCAGCAGCGCCCTGAAAAAGATTGGCAGGAAAACAGTCAGACGAAAGCCAGAACGAAGCCCCTGCTTGGTTGCTGAAGAGGCGTTCAAATACCGATTGGTGGCTTGGCCCCGCGCGGCCCATAAAACCCTGGGTGCGCATCGGGTGAAGACCGAGGCCTCGGGTGCCACAAAACACAAATCCCACGACATGTCTCGATTGTCTCGATCGCCTTGTAAAAGCAGAAACGGACTCGGGATGCATCTCCCAATGAACATTTTGAGCACTTTCTCTGCCGCCGGCATTTCTGTCTGACGGGGACCAGTCAGGTCCCTACCTATTTATGTGCATTGGGTACCAAAAGTGACAAAGCCGGTTACAAAGCCATGACTTGAAAAGTCTGGACAAATCTGCGATCCTGAAAGATGTGGGGGGGTTGAGACATGACTGCAAGTGGCGGCAGCAGGGGCCGCGTATAGGCTAGCCCGTTGCAGTCATCTCTCAACAAATCGGGTGTGGTGTAACGGTAACATTTCTGACTCTCAAAAGTCCTTCGGGATTGAGCACTCAGGGGCCCGGGGTTCGATTCCCCGCATCCGAGTTACAAATCTACTTTTTGCCGTCACTTTCACTTTCCCCCCTGCTTTTTGTTTTTGTTATCCCCATTTTCCTTGGGTTGACAAGATGTGGAGATGTGGAGATGTGGAGATGTGGCACGGGTCACCCAAAGAATCGTACTCCCCCAAGATTGGCTCTTTGTTCACGGAACTGAACTGAGGGGAATGATCGTCGCCACCGTCCTCGTCATTGTCGCTGCCCTCGCCATCGACCTCAGCTTCGGCGAAATCGTAGTTGGGGTCTTCATCCCTGTTGTCATCACTGGTGCTGAAGCCTTGATAACGTCTTTACAGCTTGAGAAAAGGCATCATCCTGGAAAGGCCTTGGAAAATACAAAATATACTTTTTGAGATGCCAGAAAGACCTTATTAAAACCTAAATATACGCTTCGAAAGGCCAGAATACCATTCAATTCCACAAGTTATTTTTCATCACGTTAGATACCTTGTAGTAGCATGCCAACTCCCTGAAAATGACCGTTCCCATGATGCTTCCAATCCTCCGATCCAAAACGGACAAAATGCGCCCCCCTGTCCAGACGCCTAACAAAGCCCGCGATATCTAGCAAGGTAGTAAAGTAAACCGAACTGAATTCATTACCCCTCCAACTTCGTAGTCGACCCCTTTTGCTGTCACTAGCCTTGTTGCTTATGCCTGCTTCTCATAATATGCCGCTGTCTGTTCATACCCTCTTTGCTGCTGCTGTTGCTGTTGCTGTTGCTGTTGCTGTTGCTGTTGCTGTTGCTGTTGCTGTGGTTGAGCCGGCAGCTCATAGCCCTGCTGATAACCCTGCTGCTGATGGTTCTGCTGCTGGTAGCCTTGATGCTGATACTCGTGCTGCTGAGGATACCCCCCGACATTTTGCTGCTGATACTCCTGTTGAGGGTACTGCTGTTGATACTGTTGTTGCGGGTATTGCTGCTGCTGCTGCGGCGGCGGATACCCGTAGCCTCCCGGGGAAGTCGACGGCGTGGGCACATACGTCATGTCGGCCGACCCAACGCTCTGAGGCGGCGGGCTGTTGGGCGGAACATTGCTATACTCCGCCGGATACGTTACGCCCCCGGCCACCACCGCCGGCTGTCCTCCTCCCGACCCCTGACCCTGCTGGGCCTGCGCCGTGATCTGCGCGGCCTGCTCCTCCTCGAGCGCCTTGCGCTTGCTCCGCCGCACGCGCACAAAGACAAGGACAGTAACGACACCCAGAGCTATCGCGAAGATGCCCGCGCCCACGCCCACGCCAATGGCCGCGCCCTTGGACAGCGTCGGCCCGCCCTCGGACGCCACGTCGTAGCTCATGGCCCAAGCCACATTGATCACGGCCGACGTCGGGATCGACGTGTCGGTCGGGTTGGCCGCGAGCCCGGCCGTCAGCGCCGGCGGCGTCACCTTGGATTTGAAGGAGCTGAAGCACGGCGTCTGGTTCGCCAGCTCGGTCGTGTACTTGTAGAAGCCGTTGGGGCAGCACTTGTCCGACACCGAGTAGTAGTCGTCCGGGCACCGCGCGAGCACCGCCTGCACTCCGTTGGCGGGGACCGGGAACACGCCCGGCCCGCCTGCGATCCGCGTGCCCGCCCCGTCCGTGGCGGTGGCGCCGGCTGCGGCGCCTTCGACTGCGACTGTCCACGGGCAGCATTCGGGGCGGTCGGCCATGCAGCCCACGAAGGCTGCATAGTACACTTGGTCGCCTGCGCTAATTAGCGTGTAAGAGGTGGTCGCGCAGCTGCCTTGCTGCAGGAGCTGGCCCGTCCCGCTGAAGGTCGGCTGCGCGAGCTTTTCGGTTGGGTTCGGGACCGGGCCGGGTGGGGTTACCGTCTTGACGGTGCTGTGTGGGGGGGGGGAGTTAGATGGTAAGGAGTTGAGGAGTTGAGGAGATCATGAGATCAGGGGGAGAGGGGGGGGGGGGCCTACGTCAGGTCTATTTGCACGGTTGATCTGACTGGTGTTAGTCAGGGCCGAGAGATTTTATCAGGGGATCGGTCTGCTCACGGTTGAGGAAGTTTGAACATGACGCTTGAGGGCGGTGTCGGGCAGGCGTCTTGGTACCAGGTTCGCTCGTAGGCATCCCAGTCTAGCGAATACATGTCAGTGTCTATCGTGCGTCTTTTGAGGGGTTAGATTCCGTACCAGCAATGCCCACGGCGCCCCAGCAGCTCGATGTCGCGATCGCAGCCGAGAGACAATCGAGATAGTTGACGCCGTTATTGCAGTTGCAAACCGACGCTGCGGCGGTCTCCAGGCAGTCTCCGTATGCGCCGTTCTTGCTGCATGTTTGGAAGCCGCTGAATGTCTGTGCCGTCATGTCATGTTAGCAAAGCACTCCTCTTCTCCCATGGGCCGTGTAAGTGACGTCTCACCCCACAGTCTGGGCCTGTAGCTCCGGTGGTTGTGATAGTGCTGTTGGCAAATTGCCGCCGACCGAATGCCCGGAACGGGGGGACGAAAGCCGTTGAAAAGACCGGCGAGACGGGCGGAGCTGCCCCCCCCGGGAATATGGACGCCGCCATCTGCTGCTTTGAGTCGATCGCGATGCCGTCTCGATGCGTTGTCCTCGGTGGGTTGCACGACGTGTTACGCCGGGATATCAAAGATCAAAATGTCGCAAAATCGAGAAACACCTCAAGCAGATCTCTCTGCAGGTGCCGCGGGAGGTCCATCTTTTTGTTCTCCCTTTGGCCTCAAGGGTAGCACATGGGCGGACGCCAGTGCAAGCCGCTTTCGGGGCGCGGCGGTCTGTTTGGCTGAGCGGTCCTCATCAAAGCAATGTTTCGGGCCATCAGAGGCGTTCCAGGCCCCCCATTCGCGATTCGCCAGCGGCTGAAGGCCCTAGTCGTCGCTTGTGGTGGCGGAGCCAAGGCGCTGGGCCGCAACCAGCAGCCCGTCGCGACCCTTCTGTGGGGTTTTTTTTTTTTCTTTGTCGACGGCCGCATTGGTGATGGTGTGCAGCGCAGGCACTGGTCTTCACTGCCTGCATCTATTTTGGCTCACCTGCACTCGCTGCGGCGACCTTGACTGTGTCAACCAGAAGCCGTCTCTTGCCCTTTTGCTCCAGGTGCCTCACCGAGTGGCTGCCGGCGAGCGACAAAGATCACCACAAGATCTCGCTTGCACGGCCAAGATGTCTAATTGCCAACTAGCGATTGTTAGCACGGTAACCATTGTCTTGGCTCGCCCTCATGACCGCAAGCTGAGGAGCAAGAACATCACAGCCCATGTCGGCATGCTTCGCGACAGCGGCTTCCAAGTTAAAAAAAGGTATTCAGCATTAGAGCATTGCCACTTACCGCAGAGTCATTCACGCTGCTTCAACCAGACGATATACCTTTTCCATTACGCAACGCGCCCAGATTCCAATGCAACAGATTCCAATTCAACAGAAATCATTTGGACAAAAAAAAGCTAGGTCATTAGGGCTGAACGCTAGGAAAGCCTAGACTTCTTGGCAGTGGTCAAGGTCCATCTGCCGTGCAGGGGCTCGCCGCGCCTTCCTCGGTCGGTGGCCATATCTTTGACAACTTTTGTTCGTAGAGGCCAGCAGAACTAGACACATAAGGTTCAGCATCGCCAAGTAAGCCCAAAACCGGCTTCAGTATCCCATCTAGTGTAGTAGTGAGATACTCTCCACGACAGTATGCTTGGGAGAAAATATCGAGCCAAATAGATTGCAAAATGTCATCGAACATGGATTTCATCTCTGGTACTGGTATCTGGCTGGACTGTATCCCCAAAAATATGTCCCCAAAAATATGTGCTCTCCACTGCCCACACAGGTCCGGTCCCCCCTTCCCCCCTCCCCCATACGCGTTGAAGGTCAATGAGCCCCACACCACCCCACTTTCCGTCCAACCTTCCTTCCTCCCGCGAGCATCTCAGGCAAGGCAGGCACACAATGATTGGTCTTCCTCGGCAGCGAGCAGGCGTGGAGCAGCCCCCACCATCTCATTCCAACATTTTGCCTTGACCCCGTCTTTGCGATTCCTTCTCGAGTCCTATCCCTCCCGGAAAGAGGTATCAGACACTATGGCCGTTATTCCTCATCCAGCTGTCACGGATCTGACCATATAAATGCATATTCCCTCGCACTGTTTCTCCCTCCACCTGCGAGCTGGACCCCCGAATATGGCACCGCATAGAGAAGGAGCTCTATCTATGTGCATCTCAGCAGAGTGCGTGGCTATATGCAGCGCTAGCGAACGAGGAAGAGCTTGCAGCTGAGGACCTGCTGGTTGTGGATATCAGAGTCGGCGATCCGCCTCCCAGCCCTAGCTCGGGCCATTCATGGGGAGAGCCGACCTGGTAGGATCTAGGTGCTAAGAAGCAAGTTCTCTAGCATGGTTGGTCAGGCTGTGACAGACGTGGGCGTTCTCTTTGGCGTAGATGCCGTTGACCCACGACCGCAATGGGCTCTCGTGCCACCATCGCTCCAACTCGACCACCAGCCCAAGGTACCGGTTGCCAGACTTGGCGTGCTCCACGGCAGGGCCAAGCCAAGACCAGATGCTCGGCCGGCTTTAAGAGTCAGGGAAGATGGGAAATTCAAGATTGTCTAGATCTCTGACACGCACATGGTCACTGGTGTCGGGCTATGCAGAGATGCTATTGATGCCCATGGGAAACATCTGCCAGAGAGCGAGGCTGACCCACTTACCGTCGACCTCATTGGGAGCATCTTGGATGTCGAGAAACCAGACCTCGTGATTCTCACTGGAGATCAGCTGCACCACGACATATCCCCGACAGCAAATCTGCCCTCTTCAAGGTCGTTGCTCCCATCATCGAGCGTTCAATCCCATTCGCTGCCATCTTTGGCAATCATGATAGTGAGGGCATCCACGCATTATCACGTGAGTAGCTTCTTTCATGAGGTGGCCGAGCCGATAACTGCTCATTGTAAAAGAAGCTGGGTCTTGGGAGCGATAGCTGCTCACTCTTGCTGACTACCTAGGATTATAGGCACGGCACAAATGTCCATACTTTGAAATC